AAAACTTACACATCTAATAAAATAAAAACCTTAAAAAGTAGGTTTTTTCCCACCACTCTCTTCATTTTCCTACTCCAAAAGCAATACTACTCCTATTACTACTAAAAAGGATTACCTCATTTCTACGCTAACCAAATAAAATATAAATGTCAAACCCGGTAATTGAATATATATATATATATACTCTCAAGTGCTAATAGTAGTATATAAGTGTAAAAGCTCCACTCTATCATGCTCAATCTATCCACATACCAACTCTCCAAGAAAAAAAGTTGTTAGCACTTAGCAAAGCAAATGGACTCCTTCCTAATAAACCATCCTCAGATTAAATTTGTAGCACATTTTGCTTGACAAAGTTCTAAACCTTGATTACTTTGCCGACAATTTCTACATTTTTTATAATTTTTTTTTTCTAAATATGCATTAATCAAAACACAACCCTCAAACCTTGTTTGCTATAGGTCAGCATTTTCTTTTATCCTCATTTGCGGGCTGACTTCTTCAATATCTTTATTCTATTGCTCCATCGCATCCCTAGTTTGGCCACCGTTGCAATTTTTAAAAAAGTAACCACACCGACTAAACCACGTGTGCATAAAATGATGATGAAATTTGAACCCTGATTATTGGCACTAGTGGTCATATTTGAATTCAACACCTAAGTAGTATTATTATAGGACAAGGGGGAGTACTTAAATTTGAAATCTCTCTTCTTCAAATAGTTAGTGTCAACGTACCTGAATTCCTTCACTTTCAGAAGGTCCATGTCCTTACCGTTCCTGAATGGACAACATGAAAATTTTCATCAATTATCTTCTTTCATCAGCAAGTTGACATCAACAGTAGACAAATGCAGCTGAAATTAAAAAGGAACACTACATGCATCTGAATTTTGTGATATTTCTCAAAAAATGAAAATTAAATTTTCCCAGACGAGACAGTAGACAGCATACCAGAATCCTCAATACGTCATTTGACATTTTGGCATTGACCTCCACCAGGAAAAATGCCAATACCATCTAGTCTTCTAAAGACAAAGCCGAAGCACCCAAAAAAGGCTCTCAAGTAGTCGGTCACGAAAACGACCCTCCAATTTTGCCCCATTACTTCTTATAGGTAGTTCTATTCTACCCCACTCTCACTGCCTAATTTTGCCTGTTTATTAATCATCACAATTATGAATTACCATACTCACTTGTCATAGTATGCAATGCATACCTCCATACACCATCATATATTTTGAAATCATCATCACAGCCAGCCACCAACAAACTTAAAAGGCTGATCAAGTGAAACTGGAAATCGCAATGTCCATATTCAAGGTATTTAACCATCTCCACTCACCATACCTGCATTTGGCAACTGGGTAAATTGGAGCCCCTCAACAGATAGTTCACTTATTTGAAACAAATGAGATCTTCTTTGAACCTTATCAACTGCAACTCAATTCATGAAACAGACATCAATATTATGCTAAATTTCTAGTAAATACCATCAACAAAAATAAAAGGCAAGAGACTCCACAACTCATCTCCCACATAGAATCTTTATAGTTTTATATATATTGTATATATGCACAGAGACAAGAAAAAGTGAAAAATAACTAAAACCACATATTCTGGGATAATGTATACAAATATCAAGGCAGATTAGCTTGGCTGAAAATAAAAAAAAAAAAAGAAAAGAGCCAGAGTAGCGAATCTGGCCTTCGTTGCATTTTGCAGAACAGGAATTCAAACACACATCCCATGGTTGGGACTCGGGAAAAATGTGGAATGTGAACTATACAGTATCTTGCATTGTTGATACATTTCTGAAAAAGAACAATAACAATAGACACATTTTGGGGCTATCTAGATAAACTGCCCCATTTCAAGATAAAGTTCGCCTGTTAAAAGACTCCACTGTTAAGTTGGCAGTGAAAGCAGGAATTGAATTCATCTTCCGGATAAAAATCTCAATCTGCAAAATGCACGCCTTCAAATAAGTTACAATACCAAAAACAATAGAAAATGAAACAAAATAACAGTTCCAATAAACACAAATTGATCATCAAGCAAAAAGTCTGCTTCATACCTGACGGGATATCTCAGGCTGAGAGGTATAATTATTTGCCTGTTGAGTTGATAAGGAAATGCATGTTAAAACTCTTCATTAATTTTTTTTCTATCAATTTAAAACAAACGATAGACAAGCATATTTCCATCCCCTTGAAGTACATCAATTTTAAAATGTTTTGGAAGCCTGAACCCAAAATAACCAATTATAGAATTTCAATTTTACATCCTTTAAGAA